ATCGGATTTGCTTGAAACTCGTTACTCGGGGGTTTTCGGGGTTGCTGATTACGAATCTCATGTCAGTTTTTGAAAATTCAAAATGGCGGATCCAATATGGCCGACATTTTTTTTAAAAACTGCTCAGATTTGCATAAAATTTGTTACTTGGTGGTTTTTAGGGTCGCTGATTACGAATCTGTTATTAGTTTTTAAAAATTCAAAATGGCGGATCCAACATGGCGGACACTTTTTGAAAAATTCATCGGATTTGCTTGAAACTTGTTATTAGTGGGTTTTCGGGGTCGCTGATTACGAATTTTGGATCAGTTTTAAAAAATTTTAAATGGCGGATCCAATATGGCGGATAATTTGAAGATTGATGCTATTCGATAGAAATTCGTTCCTCAGGGGTTTTTGGGGTCGCTGAATTCAAATTTGATGTTTGTTTTTGAAAATTGCAAATGGCTGATCTAGTATGAATAATTAATTAGATTGGCTTAAAACTTGTCGCTCTGGGGATTTCGGGATTTTGAATTTTCATAAACTGACATCGGATTCGTAATCAGCAACCCCGAAAACTCCCGAATAACGAGTTTCAAGCATACCCGAAGAATTTTTGAAAAAAGTGTCCACCATATTGGATCCGCCATTTTCAATTTTTAAAAACTATCTTGAAATTCATAATCAGCGACCCCGAAAACCCCCGAGTAACGAGTTTCAAGCAAATCCGTTAAATTTTTGAAGAAAGTGTCTGCCATATTGGATCCACCATTTTGGATTTTGAGAAACTGACATCGGATTCGTAATCGGCGACCCCTAAAACCCCTGAGTAACGAGTTTTAATTAATTTTCATCAATTTTGAAACCCATTTAGCTGCGAGAAATTTTCAACAAAAATTCTGATTAAAAAACATTAATTTTTAATAATAATGTTGATAAAGATTGTAACCACGTATTTTATAGGCTTATTAGGATCCCCCTTTTGCCAAAGGACTAATAATAAAAGTGAATTTTCAACTTTTTTTAAAATGAAATTTCAATTCTGAATTTGTTCATTTCTAGAGATTGACCCACAAACCAAATGATAAATTCATCCTATAAATTAATAATTATTAAAATTCATTAAGTATAATTTATTAATAATTGTTTATTCATTATTATTTTTTAAATTCATAATTTTTATTTTTAAATAAATGTATAATAATTAATTATTTAATAACTATTATTATTCGTTATTTATAATTTAGTTGTTATTATTAATAAATAAACTTTATTATAATATTGTACTTAAAGAAAAAAGAATTATATGTATTTTCGTTTTTTAAATGTTATTTTATAAAGTGTTTTAAAAGAACACGCTTTTTTAACTTAAATAACTGTTTTAAAAAAGTTAATTTTAAAAAATTAAATTTATTTACATGCTTTTAAAACGAGGAAAACTGTCGAGGCCCTGATCAGAGCCCTATTTCATATCTACCCAGGTAGAAATTGACGACCGGGATGGTACCGGCCCGGTACAAACGGCGGATTATAAGTGCCGGGGCGGTACCGGCATAAAACCGTAATTTTTACAGCCTCGGTACCGGCAAATTGCCGGATGATAACTACGGCAGGTATCCGGCATACGTACCGGGCCGGTACCGAATTGTCCACCGGGGCGGTACTGGCCCGGTTATTCTTGGAAGGCATTTAGTGCCGGTTTATTACCGGCTGCACAACCGGCTAAGTACTGGTCCAGTACCGGCATAAATCTGTTCATTCCACCGGCGCAGTACCGGTAAATTGCCGGATGATAACTTCGGTAGGTATCCGGCAACCGTACCGGGCCGGCACTGATGAATATCTGACACAGTACCGGGCCGGCACTAAAAAACAACCGGTGTGGTACCGGGCCGGTTAAAAAAATTACATTTCAGTCTGATTAATTGTTTAATTATTATTATTATTATCAATGTTATTATTAATTTTAAATTGGAAACAGTAAATATATTAAATGCTGAAACAGAGAAACATAAACAATTATAGAAAAATCTGAAGACTCGAGGAATTGAACTCAGGACCCTGAGGCTGCAAAGTCGACACCACATCCGCTAACCTAAACCTGCATATGGAAAGCAAATGCAAAGTGAGCTTATAAAGTCCAACCGACATTCCACCTGGCAGCAGTACCGGGCCGGCACTAATATTCAACCGGTGCGGTACCGGGCCAGTAGAAAGTATTAAGTAAATTTTTGTGCTGGGCGGGTGCTGGGCCGGCTCAAATATTATCACCGGCAAATCTCCTTCGTTCGTATAAAAACAAAACCAAATGGTAGTACCGGGCCGGTGCTGGGCAGGTAAAAATATTATCACCGGCAAATCTCCTCCGGCGATATAAAACCGAGCGAAATGACAGTACCGGGCCGGTGCTGGGCCGGTAAATATATTATCACCGTCAAATCTCCTTCGGCGGTATAAAACAGAGCGAAATGACAGTACCGGGCCGGTAAAAATATTATCACCGTCAAATCTCCTTCGGCGGTATAAAACAGAGCGAAATGACAGTACCGGGCCGGTAAAAATATTATCACCGTCAAATCTCCTTCGGCGGTATAAAACAGAGCGAAATGACAGTACCTGGCCGGTGCTGGGCCGGTAAATATATTATCACCGTCAAATCTCCTTCGGCGGTATAAAACAGAGCGAAATAACAGTACCGGGCCGGTGCTGGGACGGTAAAAATATTATCACCGGCAAATCTCCTTCGGCGGTATAAAACAGAGCGAAATAACAGTACCGGGCCGGTGCTGGGACGGTAAAAATATTATCACCGGCAAATCTCCTTCGGCGGTATAAAACAGAGCGAAATAACAGTACCGGGCCGGTGCTGGGACGGTAAAAATATTATCACCGGCAAATCTCCTTCGGCGGTATAAAACAGAGCGAAATGACAGTACCGGGCCGGTGCTGGGACGGTAAAAATATTATCACCGGCAAATCTCCTTCGGCGGTATAAAACAGAGCGAAATGACAGTACCGGGCCGGTGCTGGGCCGGTAAAAATATTATCACCGGCAAATCTTCTTCGGCGGTATAAAAACAGAAGTAAATTATAGTACCGGGCCGGTGCTGGGCCAGATATTTTTTATCAACCGGCCCGGTACACACTACCAGTACCGGTACAAATCCACATTTACCACCGGGCCGGTACTGGGCCGGTATTTATTTCATATCCGGCCCGGTACCTTTTTGCCGGTACCGGCATAAGTCTGACTTTACAACCGGTTCGGTACCATGCCGGTCGTTAGTGCTGGCACATCTCCAACTTTTCTGCCTGGGTAGTGAACACCTCACTTGGGGTTTTGGCCAGAAATTCTGGTCAAACCCACAAAATAAAAAAATTATTAAAACGATAGTATAATTACTCCCTTTAATTGTATTCTTCAATTGTTCATTATTTTTTATTAAAAGTAATTTTAGAGATTTAATTTTTTTTACACTTTATTTAAACAAGGAAAAGTGTCGAGGCCCTGATCAGTACCCTATCTAAAATCTAATGAACACCCTACCTGGGGTTCTGGCTAGGAATTCTAGTTAAACCCATAAAATAAAAAAATTATTAAATAACTAAAATAATGATTGCCTTTTATTGTTAAATAGCTTTTATAACAAAAAGTAATTCTAAAAACTTTATTAAAAAAAAAATGTTAATAGGGAAAACTGTCGAGGCCCCGACCAGAACCCTGTTTTAAATAGGGCAAAGTGGGGCATATTCTGCACGGGATAGTGTACAGCAAAGTAGTGGAAAATCTGTAGAAAACAACACTTTTCTGCATTATAGTTTCCAGTATATGCAGAGATTAGCCATACTTTGTGCTGCATTTACATTAAAGAAACGCGACACTTTTCCAGCAGGTGTCACACAAAAAAATCTCTTTTTATCCCACATGCACAAAAACGGCGCTTTCTGATAGCAGCCGACAGGGAGGAAAGTCATTCATTTCTTCGACCGTATGAAAATGGCGGCCGTGTTCTCCCAAGGGCAAGAAAATTAGCTGTTCACATGCATTTTTCTTGCCCAAGGGAGAAATCGGCCGCCATTTTCATACAAATCGAACAAGTGAATGACTTTTACTCCCTGTCGTCTGCTATCTGAAATTGCCGCTTTTGTGCATTAGGAATAAAAAATATCGTAAGTAACACGAGAATAAAGGCAGCCAATTTCTTTACAATGATTTTTGTGACACTCGTTCCGGTCTCGGGGCGCCTACGGCGCCCTCGACCTCCACTCGTGTCACAAAAATCACCGTAAAGAAATGGCTGCCTTTCTCCTCTTGTTGCTTAATATACTATTTTGTGTTGACAAAACCGTTGTTATGTTATGATACTGAAGAATAAGAAATAAATTAAATCTTGATAAATGAAGTTGTAAGCAAAAAGCAGGAAGTATTTGTCGATCGACAATCCGTGGACTAAATTATTCCATTATCCGAATTCTTATTCTCAGTCTTTACAGTACAGAATTTCAACAATGATTCTCACTCACAGTTTTATTGAGGATATGTGCTTCTTTCTGCCGCTATAATGATTCTTATACATAGAAAATGGAACTAAAGTATTATCTAAGGGACCATCCATAAAGTACGTTAACATTTTAGGGGGGAGGGGGCGTTAAAAATAGAAGGAAAAAGGATTCTGCATGTTATCTCTTGGTTACTTAACAGAAGGTCTAAGATTCAAGGCAAGCGGTCTATTTTTCACTATATACACACGAACGAGAAGAAGGGGGGGACCACTCCCATCTTTTTCCCGAAGAGAAGGTAAATATCGAAGAAATAAATTATAATTGATGCAAATTAAATTGTCAAAAAAGGCATAAGAAGAATTACGATCTTAATAATGGTAACAAGAATCGTGATTCGCGTGTGGTGACATAATCATAAATGTGAGAGCAATATCATTGCGAGACCGGATGAAAACGCACCTGGTCGCTGTGGTATCGATAGAGAACGGCCTGGCTACTTGTCTGTGTGGCGAAGCAGTCTGCCTGCCTGCGTTCACCTGCGTTCACCTGCGCAAGGTTGCAGGCTTTAAGCTCTCCGGCATTTCGAACTGTAACGACACGGTGTCGACATCCTCGTTGTGTATCCATTCAGCCTTGTGCAATTCATCATTTCGCGCCACGGATTTTATCGCTTTGATAAATATTTCCACCCTCTTTCCCTCTCCCACTTCTCTAATGCTAAATAAATAAAGTGTGTTTCTGTGCTTGTGAATGTGTCTGTTTCTGTTCTTTTTTCTAAATAATAAATAGTGTCGGTATTTGCAACCGCGCGTCTCGATCATCCAACAGCTAAGGTTTTCTTTTTCGAAGAATGTGCGTAACCCGAACGCCGACACGCAACGCTGATATGAACGAACCAGTAACAGGTAGCGACGGTAGCGTATATCAGAATAAAAATTATTTACGGAAATTAGAAGATATTTCCACTTTTTAATTCATTCCGTTTTTGATTTTTACTTTTTTCTTTTTTTTTTCTCGGAGTGACGATAACGGAGGAAATTTTTTTTTTAAATTCTCCACAAATCTTGTGAAAGAAGTGATCGAAAATGTAGCACGTAATGGCCACTTTGATACACTTGGATACACTTTCAACTCGAAGTGACCTTTCGTGGTTAGGTACGGCGGCCGATGGTGAATGGTAGGAACCTGACGGTAACGTATCTCATCAACGCTTTCTTTCTTGCAATGAGATTATAAAACTCGACTCAGTTTTGCCTATAGTTAAAACCCATTTTTGTCGTGTCATTGTTCTCATTATCAAAAAACAGTGGTAGCAACACTTGTTCCCATGCAAGATTCTCTTTTAAGGACTTTTTTTCGTTTCTTTAAAAAACAGAATCGACTGTATGAAACTAAAGGACTCTAAAGGTCTGATATTATTTAACTCTGTTAAATAATACCATAAAAAATAGATCAGAAAACAATAAAGATGTTTCAGGAAATTAAGAATGCAAATATGAGACATTATTCCTGAACTGCCCCAAAAATAAAAAAAAGTTCTTGGATTTCCTTTATACTTTGGAAATATGTTACCCTAGTAGGTACAGGTTACTACACCAATTTACAGGTCCAACCCCCCACCCCAATCAAAAGGGTGGGGGGTTGAAATTTCAGCTTCAACTCGAACATGCATTCTTTAAACATTTGTAGTTTCTACTTAAATTATTCAATTAAAAAAAGTAAGTAGTGTTTTAGAAAGGTTTTTTTGTGTACTTTTAAAATATTTTATTTATATAATAAAAAAAAAAATTTTTTTGCAAAAATTTTTTAAAATAAATAGTTTTTTGCAATTTTGTGCAAGTTCGGTAGTTTTTATTTTCTTTTTAATAATCTCAAATGAAAGCTTGGGAATTCCCCTAAAAGAAGATATAAGTCTGAAAATGGGCCGAAACAATTTGCCAAAGATATAGTGTAATAAGTAAAATTTGTCCGTCCGCTCGCGCACTCCAGCGCGATGAACAGTGGGATTTTTTTTCAACTTACTATTGAAAATTGTCTAGAAACTACAAATTTTATCGGATGTTGAAGTTCTTGATTTAAAATTACTAAGAGATCCATCAAAGTCGATTTTTGAATTTTTAATTGTTTATTTTTTTCTTGTTACTCAAAAATTTGACAAATTACAATATTTTTAGAAAAAATCATGTTAGTTTTTTTATTTTTCCATTACACATGATCGAAATCAATTTAAATTAGTCTAGTATGACCACCGGACAATTAATAAAGCATAATACAATTTATTTAAATTGTTGCAAACAATGTTAATTAACAAATAGATTACTTCGGACCTTCTTCATAAAAAAAATTGGTTTTTTTTGCAGACAAGTTTAAATTTATGTCTAATTTAGTAAAAAAAACTATTTTACAGTTAAAAATTATCATTAATATTAACAATTATATAAACAATAATCAACTTCCTTTTGTATTTGTAAACATTTTCGTCATTTTTCAAACTTTAAATATTTATATCATATGTACATTCTTTCAAAAATTTAAAAAATTTATTTGCTTAAACAGTTACATTTGTTATAAACAAATTTTTCATTTTTAAACAAATAATTAGCTTTTTTCATCAAACAAAATTTTTTCCTTTTTTATATTTACTATCATAAAAAAGAACGCCTTAATGAAATGGGAATACTATAAATTATTCATTTAATTCTAACGAACATTATAAGTTAACAAATATTTAACTTTGTTCTTTTTTCACAGAAAAAATTTAAATTTAAAAAAAATTTAATTTAATTTAATTTTTAATTTAATTTTTAAATTTTTTATTTATTTTTTTTTTATTTTTTTACATAAATTTAAACTTGTCTGCAAAAAAACCAATTTTTTTTATGAAGAAGGTCCGAAGTAATCTATTTGTTAATTAACATTGTTTGCAACAATTTAAATAAATTGTATTATGCTTTATTAATTGTCCGGTGGTCATACTAGACTAATTTAAATTGATTTCGATCATGTGTAATGGAAAAATAAAAAAACTAACATGATTTTTTCTAAAAATATTGTAATTTGTCAAATTTTTGAGTAACAAGAAAAAAATAAACAATTAAAAATTCAAAAATCGACTTTGATGGATCTCTTAGTAATTTTAAATCAAGAACTTCAACATCCGATAAAATTTGTAGTTTCTAGACAATTTTCAATAGTAAGTTGAAAAAAAATCCCACTGTTCATCGCGCTGGAGTGCGCGAGCGGACGGACAAATTTTACTTATTACACTATATCTTTGGCAAATTGTTTCGGCCCATTTTCAGACTTATATCTTCTTTTAGGGGAATTCCCAAGCTTTCATTTGAGATTATTAAAAAGAAAATAAAAACTACCGAACTTGCACAAAATTGCAAAAAACTATTTATTTTAAAAAATTTTTGCAAAAAAAATTTTTTTTTTATTATATAAATAAAATATTTTAAAAGTACACAAAAAAACCTTTCTAAAACACTACTTACATTTTTTAATTGAATAATTTAAGTAGAAACTACAAATGTTTAAATAATGCATGTTCGAGTTGAAGCTGAAATTTCAACCCCCCACCCTTTTGATTGGGGTGGGGGGTTGGACCTGTAAATTGGTGTAGTAACTTTTACCTACTAGGGTAACATATTTCTAAAGTATAAAGGAAATCCAAGAACTTTTTTTTATTTTTGGGGCAGTTCAGGAATAATGCCTCATATACAAATTCTCGGAAATAATGTTATCGGTTCATATCATTCATCATCATATCATATTGGTTAATAAAATGTTAAATACAAAAGCTTAACTATAAATATTTAACTCTTTTGTTATTCAATTTTTGCTACTCTAATTCCTGCTCTACTTTATGATATTTTCTTTTATTAAAATAGTGTCTGTTATTCTAAATTTAAGTAATAAGGAAGTGATTTATTATGAAAAAGTATACCAATATATTAGGCATTTTTAGTTTCATTTACGAAACTGAAGTTAGCAACGTTCACGTCGACGAAATTAATTAAAAAAGCTCGAATTTTCCAGTAAATCATTCTTTTCTTTCGAAATTTATAAGAATAAGAGAAATGAATTTTTTGGTTTTATATCAAGATTAGAGAAAATAAGACTATTCGTATAATCTATATGCTCAGTTTATCTTCATTTCGTAAACTTATCTCTTGTCTAATATATCAATAAATTAGGAAATATTCATTATTTATGGCCTTTAACCTCCACCGGTACAATAAATCCTAGGTAGATTTCGTCTGAGATTATAATTTTGAACACTAAAAATCTTTGCTAACAGAGTATCATAACTATATTTTTAAATTTCTTACAATTTCTCCTGACATATATCAATTTTAAATTTGGAAATAGAAAATAATTTTTTTAATTTACTCACAGTTTTTCTAAGGACATCAAATTGAGACAAAAGTCTCAATTCTTAATTAGAATAAGAGACAAAAGTCTCTTATTCTTGAGAAAAATTATGCCCTATCATTAGAAGAGCAAAAAATTCTGAAATCATGAAAAAAATTCAATTTTCTAAAAACAGTGGAATATTTCTTTTTTAAATATTTTATCCTTGAAAACGGAACTGTTGCAAAGCTGATTTTCTGCAAAAATGATTTCCTTTCTAAAATTGCCTTAGCAACAAAAGCATTATCTATATATATATATATATATATATATAATATAAATGATGTTGCGTGAATAAGAGAAGCATCTAAAATTCAAGATCGTGATTATTGGTCAGGGTTCCATTCACACATTATGCCTCTCGCTCAATTATTATACTTTTATTTTTTATATAGACGCGAAAAGAAGAGAAAAAATGACCGCAACTTGCAAAATATACAATCGAATAGAATTTGTTTTTGAAATTTTTGAAGAAAATTATTTTCACTTTCAAGTTTCGTGCTCTCTAAATTTGAATCAGTTAAAAATTATAGTTTTAACTACAACAATCAGTAAGTGCCTTTTTGATTTTAAATCAGTTATATATATTTAACTGATTCAAATTTAGAGAGTGAAGAAATGTCTCTAAATATAATTAAGAAAATACGATTTTTTCGATTTTTTCTCTAAAGAATATTTTTTGCTTGTGTTCTATATTTGAAATAAGAGCTTTAGCAAAGATCTATAACGAGTTTTCCTAGTTTCTGTCAAGGCACCTATATGTATAATTGGAGCCTAATTTAAAAGATATAAAATTATAAATATTAAACTATTATTTTACACTCAGAAAAAAATTATGTTTACTATTAACTTAAGAATTGATGCCAGAAATGTGGATCACATCATAAATTGATCAAAATTTTTGGTATCAATTTAATTCACTTTAGCACCAGTTTGATACTTTCAAAAAAAGTTTGTTTAAATCAAATACTATTTTTTTTGTATAAACCTTTTTTTTAGATCACTTCAAGTAAAGTTTATTTAACCTAAACAAATATTTATTCGACTTAAGTAAACATTTGGTTTAGCTTAATAAATAATTTAATAAATTTAGGTCCATGAAGTTGGCCTAGTCGACGCTGAGAGTCGATAACATTTTTCTCAACACAAAATACAAAAATAAAAGAGTCGAACAATTTTTTCAATAGTTGCAGGTTAACAGACTTTTAACTCCCTAGGTGGATTAAGAGAAATGAAATAAATTAGTGACATTTTTGTCTCTAAAGACCCGAAATAATAATTTTTGACACTGAGCTTATAGACGATAACTTCAGGGATTTATAAATTTTAAAGAAAGAATTTAGTTAGGCCTAAATTTAGTCATTAGGCTTTTGACTCAACCAAAAATTTGGTCGTTTCAAACAAATTTTTTTATGAGTGTGTTTTACTTTTTATTAAATAAAAAACACAAGAAGTAAATATAATCAATCGAAAATGACCATAGTTTTTA